AACAGAAATACTTAGGTGAACTATATTGGAGGCAAGCATGACCCCAGTCACTGGTAATAGTGGGAATGAGAAGGAAAGGACGGATGCAAATTGAGTTGTTAGCATATAGCCTAGAACATGGCATACACTTCAAATTATCACCTAAATGGATCCTCAATGATAAGAGTACAGAATGACCAAAATGACTCCAAGGTTTAGAGGCAGGATGACTGAGAACTGAAAAGTGTTGGTAACATTGTTCAAACAAACAAAAAAAAAAACCATGGTTCAAGAATGGAGAGGAAAGATGATATGGGTAGTTCTGAATCTGTTGAGTTGAAAATGATCATAGGCCATGCAAGTGGAAACTTCTATCAGGTGGTTGGAAATATGATTTGGGGTGAGGAAAGGAAGTTGGGATGTTGGGGTATAACTTTAAGAATTTTCTTTTCAATAGAAATGAGAATGATGGGGCTCCTGGGTGGCTCAGCGGGTTTGGCCTCTGCCTTCGGCTCTGGTGATGGTCTCAGGGTCCTGGGATCGAGGCCTGCACTGGGTTCTCTGCTCAGCAGGGAGCCTGCTTCCCCATCTTTCTCGGCCTGCCTCTCTCCCTACTTGTGATTTCTCTGTCAAATAAATAAATAAATCTTAAAAAAAAATGAGAATGATGAAATAACTAAGGAGGACAATGTAGAAGATGATTAAGAGCAGAAAATTCAGATCTACATTAGGGAAGCAAAGATGAGTGAAACCAGGGGAATCAAATGTCATGGAAACTCAGGGAGGAGACATTAAGAAGGTAGGATTAATTAGAAAAAAAGGTAAAGGAAGCTGAAGTATGAAAAAAAAAACATTTCGGATTCTGTAATCAGAAAGTTGTCTGGCTGGTGAGGGGTGGTGGGGGGTTGGGGGGTGGAGAGGGCAAAAATCAGATAGCCAGGAAATAAGAAATGAGTAGGTGGTGAGGAATTGAATACAGCAAGTGCCTTCTTTCTCGAGAAGTCTGATAATGAGAGATGGGCAAGAGATGGTACAGTAGGCATATGGGCAAACAATGTAATATGAATGTATACCCTAGAGCTGGCAAGTCTGTAGCCTTTCTAGTGGGAGAAGCAGTGTCAACAGTTTTCAAGTAGAGACCAGATGTGAATACATTTGCAGGCAGAGGAGAAGGAGCCAAGAGGAAGAAAGAGAATAAAGGTACAAGACAGCAGATAATTGAGCTAGATCTGATATGGGAAAGAAATGACATCTATCTTATAACTGGTTTTAGAAAGGAGAGGAGGAAGGTGTTCCTCCTGACGCATAAAGGGAGGGATGATTTAAGATATTTTGATGTGAAGAGAGAGTATATGGGTGTGACTGACAGCCTGTATTTTCTCAGGAAAGTAGGTGTTCTAGTTGTCCCTCCTCAACAGAGAACTATTGCTTAGGTGAGGAACCCAAAAATCTGGACACTGGACCAAGATAAAAATAGCTAGCTTTCCCATCCGTTTTAAGTTTTTATTTAAATTCTAGTTAGTTAACATATATGATAAAATTGGTTGCAGGTGTAGAATTTAGTGATTCAGCACTTACATATAACACCCAGTGCTCATCACTAGTGCCCTCCTTAATGCCCATCACCCATTTTGGCCAGCTTATTTATTAAGCACATACGTTACGGTAGATACTTTAATCTCTTTTTCTAAGATTTTATTTATTTATTTGACAGACAGAGATCACAAGTAGGCAGAGAGGCAGGCAGAGAGAGAGGAGGAAGCAGGCTCCCAGCTGAGCAGAGAGCCTGATGCAGGGCTCAGTCCCAGGACCCTGGAATCATGACCTAAGCCGAAGGCAGAGGCTTAACCCTCTGAGCCACCCAGGCGCGCCACTTTATTTAATCTTTATAACAACGCTAAGAAGTAGGTACTATTATTCTTTCCATTTAAAAAAATTATGCCTTCCTAACCCACTCTTCTTTATCCCATTTTAAAATTTTCTATCTTTATTATAGGTAATGTGAAAGTGAAAAATCACTTATTGGCATTTCTAATCATATGTTTGAATTATTTGCAAGGGATACCCCTGAGAGGTAGGTGATTTGTCCTCAGAGCTCGTTTATTTTAGAGTCCTTTACTATGGGTAGGCAGCATGATGCCCCCCCCGAGGGATATCTATATCCTAATCCCTGTATCCTGTGTACAAATCAGTTCACATGGCAAAGGGAAATAAGGTTACAGGGAGAATTAAGGTTGCTAATCAGCTGATTTTGATATGGGAAGATTATCCTGGATTACCAGGGTGGGCCCAATGTAATCACAAGGTTTTAATAAGTAAAAGAGGGAGGTGAGAAACGATGGCAGCAGGAGAAAGACTCAACCAGCTGTTGCTGGCTTTGAAATTGGAGGAAAAGGGCTATCAACCAAGGAATGTGGGTGGTCTCTGGAAGATGAAAAATGCAAGGAAATGGATGCATCCCTGGAGCCGACAACCCCTTGATTTTAGCCCAGTGAGACGTGTATTGGACTTTTGGTCTATAGGATTGCCAGATAATAAATATGTGTTGTTTTAAATAACTAAGTTTGTGGTAATTTGTCATAGCAGCAATAGGAAACTGCATGTACCTTTCCTGCTGCTAGGTCATGCCCTTTCTCCTTAGACCCCAGGCACTACTCTTTTCCTACTCTCAAGAAAGAGTTGACATCGGGGTGGCTGGGTGGCTCAGTGGTTAAAGCCTCTGCCTTCAGCTCAGGTCATGATCCTGGGATCCCGGGATCCTGGGGTCGAGCCTCACATCGGGCTCTCTGCTCAGCAGGGAGCCTGCCTCCTCCTCTCTCTCTCTGCCTACTTGTGATCTGTCAAATAAATAAAAATCTTAAAAAAAAAAAAGGAGTTGACATTTACATCTTCGTGTATGTCGATTTACCACTTACATCTTAAGTCCTTTAACTATCTATGTAAAGAAAGCAACAAACAAGTAGGTGGAGAACAACGTTTTGGGGAAGGCGAATGATCACAATTTCCACTCAATTTTTGTAGCTAAAAATCTATTCATCCTGCACTGGTCAACCTTGACCACAGTGTATGGTAAGATTTTTGAGTGTTTGATAATCCTGTTTTATTCTCTTCCCTTCTAATGACCCCTTTTTTCCTGAGCTAAAATGAGATGTATTATTTACATATAATTATTCTGTGCCCGCCTTGTCTAACAACATACACGAAAAGGACTTGGCCGTTTTTAAAATTTAATTGTTAATGTGCTAATGTTCCTCATTAATATTTGCAAGCGGTGGAGATGAGCACCGTCTACTTTATTGCGAGAGGAACTTTTATGTCAAAGGGGGAAGTGAACTTACCAGATTTTTATTCTTTTATCTCTGCTAGTATGCATTATAGCTGGAAGTAGTTCAGGTTGGCCAAAATCAGGGACTCAAGAGAGTTCAGAATTTTCTCCAACTCTACAGAGATTCTGTTCTTTCACAAAGCTTCCCTTCTCTACCTGCACTGTTGATAGGTTTCTATTCTTTCTCAGCAGTTTTTCAAGTGTTGTCCTTCACACTGGTCTTCCGCACGACACATTCCTGGCTACTATAAAGTTGGGTGGCAATCATTGTTTGAAATCCTTTTTCCTGAACCTAAAGAGGCTTGTCTTTAGGCTACGAAGCCTCCCTTTCGGAGGGCTTACTCAGCCTTACAATTTAGTACGTTCTGAGTATGCATAAATGGGTTCCTAGAGTACAGCGGGTCAGAAACGTTCCTCTTACTGGAAAGCCCTCAGTTTCCAGGGGATAAAAACGAAACTCTCCTTATTTAGAGGCAGGGATTTCTGCGTGTCACCAAAAGCCTTCCTTTCCTCTGTCACATCTCCAAGTGGGAACTCGCCGTTTCTCTACGACCCTGACGCACAAAGTCACTGGGGAGGCGGCAGCAGGCTGGGGAACAAGGACAGCCAGTTGGACATCCCTGAAGGCTCAAGTCCAGAGGGATATCCGGGACCTAGAAGCGTTTTTCTGTATGGCAGACGCTGCAGGAGCGCGGGAGTGGATATGCTCCAGGGGTCCGCTCCACAGACCTGGGGCGGGATCCGCAGGATGCGCCCTTGACCGGAAGGACCCACAAAGCTCGGGACCTCAGCTTGGGTTGGGGATGGAGCCGCCCTAGACGGCAACCTAGAGAATAAGCGACCTCGAGATACAAACCCCAGCGACCGCCGTTAGCTTTGTTTGTAGCCAACTAGCCTTCGGGCGCGCGCGCGGCGAAGCAACTTCCGGGTTCCAGGCCTCGCGACAGGCCCAGCCCGGGACTCGGTCTTCCTCCCCCGCGCATCCCAGTTCCCCTTCCCGGCCCCGCCTACATCCCTGGTCCGCCTCTTCGCGCTAAGGCCACGCCTTGGCGCTCCTCCCCACCACTTAGGCCCCGCCCTCTGGCCACTCATTTTCCCCCTTCTCCCCTCCCCCCCGTTCCATCTAATTGTTGGATTGTCAGCGCTGCACTCCTGCTGGTGGCCGGCAGGGGGCAGAGTTCGAGTTTGGATTTTTTTCCGCCGGGCGTCCCGGGGAGGCAGTCGCCGAGTGGGGGAGGGGAGGGCGGGGCGCGAGGACGCGGTTCGGTCGGCTGCTGCGCTACTTTTGGTCTCGGCTCCGCTGGCAGGCCGCGGCTGCCGCATCAGAGCTGACGTGGGGGCGACGTGGGGCCGCCGCCGACGCCGGCGCCGGGTTGCTGGGCGGCGGCGCCGCTCCTGAGCGGCGGTCGGGTTCGTCGTCTCCACCTCCTCCCGTCCGTAATCAGTGACGAGGTCCGCTACGTAAATCCCATCGCGGCGGGTAAGTGGCGCGCCGGCCCGGGACCCAGAGACCTCGGAGCCGGCAACGCGGCGCAGGAGGCGGAGGCAGGAGGAGGAGCGGAGCCGGGTCGACGGGTCGGGGGGCCTCGGGGCCCCGGAGTGGGGGCGTGGGGGGCTCCGAGCCCGAGGGGAGGGCGGGGAGAGCGGGAGCAGTGCGGCCGGGGGCGCCACCCCGGGGGCCTCCCGGTGGCGGCGGCCGCTCACTTGTCACGCTCCGCCCGCGGGGTGCCTTCGGGTTAGTGCAGAGCTCTAACGAGCGGGAAGCGGGCTGCTGTGCTCTCGCAGCCCTCCCTGACTCCTTTTGAACTTGGTACAAGTTGGGCAAGTCTTTGGGGAAAAGCCTTACTGGTCTGATGAGTGGGGTTCTCCCTCTTTGAGAAGAAAAGGAAACGAGAAGTAAGGACGTTGGTTTTATTTACCACAGCCGACGATTAGTAGCACCTTTGTCTCAATTATATGGACTTCGTTTTGGTAGAAATCAGCGTTAACCCATTTCTTCTCCGAAACATGAGTCGCGGACACCGGTGTTGGGTCACTTTAGTCCCCAGACACGACAGAGCTGATGAAATAGTGCGGAGACTTTTATAATAGCCGCGAAGAAGGAACAGAACCCTGACAGCTGATAGAAATTGCAGTTTCTCTTATTCTTTACCTTTGATTTGTGCCTTTTTAGAAGGCACCTAGCAAGGTTCCCAGAACATGCTGGACAGGGAGTAGACAAATTATTCAACATAGTTCTTTATCCTACTGCACGAATACCAGGTCCCCCTAACTTTAAAATCGCTGAGACCTTCCGTGTACAGCGCTCAGGAAAGCAGCTGTCAGCTTACGATCAAATTTTCAGCCGTTTTGGCTTACAGGATCAGCCTGAAGTTCTGACTAAAACAGAGAGCCCCTTTTAACAGTACCTCTTAGCTCCGTAACTTCCTAAAATTTCTTCCTTTCAAGACTGATTTGGCGGGCTGATGAGACTGTAGCCACCTTCCCTTTAAATAAATAGAAACCTCGGTGCACGATAGAGGTCCGGTATGAAAATTGTAATAGATTATATTAATAATTCATGTTCTCTGTTGTTTTTTTTTTTTTTCCTTTGGGTACCACGTTTTTCTCCTAGTTTTGGTCCTATGTTGGGATAGTAAGCTGTTTCCCTTCATAATTTTTAAATTTGAACTTTTTTCTTTTCTTTGAACTCTTTCCTCCCAAGGATGTTAAATTGCAAATAATGTTTTGGCTAATAAGAGCTAGGTACTAAAAAAATAATGTATAAACAACTGCTTACTGATCCGGATACAGCTTTTAGAAAGATATTTAAGTGGGTTTGATCCTGAATGAGTAGAACACTTAAAGCATTGTCATATTAAGTGTTGATAATTACACAAACATTTTTGGTATAAATCTGTAAATAGATTAGTGTAAGCAGATGCTTTCTCAGTGACTTGCTGGTCAACCTGGAATCATTTTGGTGAGTGTGAAGTTGTAATTACACTGATGTTTTGTGTACATAACTTGTAAGAATATATGAATAAATTTTTATTGAATGTGTAAACACGGAGGAGCTCTTCAGTCTTTGTTTTTGCTTTGTCCTGGAAGGTTAATGAAATTTGCTTCTACGGATGAGTTCAAGAAACTCCAGACTCCATAGACCACTTTAGTTTGCTACTGAGGCAGGTTATTGCAGAATTAAAATGTAAAATCCTTTTTAGAATTCCATGAAGAGTAAGGGAAGAGTTTCAGGTTATTAACACACATAAGAAATCCTGATTGAAACTTGACCAGTACGTACATATATTTATGATCTGTTTTCCCTAACTTGATATTCTCTGTAAGTTAATATTGGGCCAGAAAATTGAGCCAGGTTTATTGTTGACGTAGTAGTCCATTGGAAAGTGCTCAAATGTCCTGTTCCATTTAGATAGACTTTTAAAAGTAAAATTGAACAAGGTAAACACTTCACAGCTGAACCACTGATATTTTGACATGCGGTCAACATTGGTCATTAGGAAAATAAGCCCAAAATGTCTTTAAATTCTGTTAAGTATTTCAACTTTATTGAGCTAGTGGATTCTGTATGTAAAAATCAACTTTGAGAAGAGTTATTGTACATTGAATGCAATTTTAATGTTATCAATGCAGATCATAAAAATAAACATTTCAGGGGAAATGTTTTTTATCCATTACATACAGGTAGAAATAAACATTTTAAATCATTTTGTTAATTTCCTTTTAAAGAATATTTAAGGTTTTTTTAAAATACTTTGTACCATGAGAACTGTATAATTAAGAATACACTATAAGAGTAAATCCTTTAACTCATGGGTTTTCTTTTTCTGATGCTTTAGGATATCCAGTAGAGAATAGGGGGAATGAAGAGGAAAACTTAAGGATAACACTAGTGGGATTTTTATCTTGATACTACTCATGAAGACAACTTGAGTCTTACTGATATAATTCCGTTTACAGCAAAGTTTAAAAAGTACAATATCTATCTTGCACTTTTTTTTTTTTAATCTTGCACATCTTTTGATTAGCTTTCTCAGGAGTGTTAGAGGAAATTGTTGCCAAGGGGTATATAAAACAGTTTTGAGGAAGAACATAGGCTAGAAAGTTATGTGGGAGTTTTGCTTAAAGCCTCTTGGAATAACTGTCTCACGGGGAAGGGAGGATACTTGCCTCATAGAAAACCTTACTAGCAGCCCTTTTGTGAGGCTCTTTTGAAGTACCCAGTTGTTCCCAAGTGGGAAGCATCTTTGCTCGTATTTTCTGAACAGTGATTCAGCCAGACCTGTTAAATGTCAAAGTCATGTGAAATCCTAATGGAGCTTGTGTGATTCTGATAATTTGAGAATTTCCCAAAAACAGTTTTTTCCAAGTTATCTTCTTGAATTTTTTTTTAACACAGCGGACTTAAAATTAGACCGTCCTGACTCATGTCATTCAGTTTTGTTCATTTCCATTGTTAGAGCAAAAATGATTTTTTTGCTTCGAAATGTTTTAAAGTGGAGTTTATATTCTAGCATTGATATTATAAAAGCCTCTAGCTCAGGTATTAGAGAAACTGAATCATGCATAAAGACCTATGATACTGTATATGGACAATTGGGATGCTTTCACCCCTTTTAAAATTGATGGAGGTGTTAAAATTAACCTATTTAAGCATGTTTCTGGACTTAGAACTAAGTAGCAGCTTTGTTCATATACACAAAAGAGGACCAATCTAGGTAAGTATCATAACATTGAAATTTATTTCTCTGAACATTACTTAATTCAAGTGTCTTATCTACTCTTTTCCAGATTACTGGTTAATAGTCACTAGAGTTGTACTTTGTGTAGATAAGTACTTTGAAATGTACTTAAAGTGCAGTAGTGAAATACAATATTGAACAGGAGAACCCAGCAATGATTCCAGTCAAGCAAATAACTGACAGAAGATTTTAAATTTTGTTTCCTCCCATGAAGTGGTGGTGGTGGAGATGGTGGTATTTGGAGAGGTGGAGATAGGCCATGATTGTTTGAATTTTAGTTTTCATTTCCTCCTTACTAGCCAATTTTGTTGTTCATTGACTGTGAAATAGCCAAAAACAGGTGCCAGGTGGGGAATTAATTGAGAAAGGGATGCTGAAATAGTTAATCCTTTAGTGACTTTATAAAAACTTAAGATTTCTTAAATAATAGGTATCTGCAGCAATTAAATTGGAGTGGCCTTGAATCTGTATTAGAAAGCCACCTGATTCTCACTATGATTCATGTTTAAAATTTTAAAGACATTACTTGCAAGTGTCTCAATTATTTATAAGTATTGCTCCTGGCTACTTCTGTTTTTACACAAAAGTGTAAATAAAGAATGTTATTTGAAAGTTATTCTAACCTTGTTTCACAATGATTACAAAACTTGAAAAGTGGTGTAATTTCCTGTCACTGCTCTCCCACTTTGTTTCTCCTGTACTCATCTCCTTAATCTAAATGCATGTAGTAAGATAGGCTTATCCCTGCCAACTTGAGGTATTTGGCTCTTTGTAATTACTTCTCTCTTCTACCCAGCCCTGCCTTCTCCCAAGTTTTTAATCGATGTGATTGAAATGAACCAGCTGTATATGCACTTAATGTTCTTCTTCCCTTATCTTTCAAACCTTACTCGCTATTGCTATTTAAATCATGATTAACCTATGAAGATCTCCTATTTTCTGAAGGAACTAAAACCTTGCTTCATCCTGGAACCAGAGAAATAGATAGACTTTTCTGTGGTCTCTCTCTCTCTCTTCCTGTTTCCATGAGAGTTGTATCCCTTTTATTCCACATTTTTTCCTTTTTATTTTGACTATTCTAAATTGCAATGTGGGATTTTTTTTTTGGTTGTGTTTTTTGTTTTGTTTCTCCCCCTTCCTGCAAAAACTATCTCAATGCATAATTTTCAATTTCCATTTTTCGGATCTTGAAAGTAGAGCAAGAACTTAGGTTGTTTTGCAATTGTCTTTGTAAAGAACTCTACATATTTGTCATTTCTCCAATTTTATAGGTCTTTCCAACTGTAATATCTAGCCCCAAAGCCAGAATTTTTTAAAAAGCAGCCTTTTATTGTCTTTCCAAAGCAGTCTACTTAGTTTTCACAGAAGCAGCTCTTTTTTAATCTTTTAAATCTATTTAACAATTTAACATGCTATTTAACAGAATTCCAAAATTACAACAGTAAGTATAGTTGGCATAATCAAGTTAGGTGATAAATATGGCTAACTCTTGCTAAGCATCCACCACAGCTGTTAGAAACAGAAGTGCTTAGGTACACTAGAGAGTGACTCTGGCATTAGGTGTGCTATAGGTTTTATAGAAGAAATTGAGAGCATTGGTTCATACAGAGAGTTGGTTGGGGAGAAGGAAGTTGGCTAGGTAAGCTTTTATATTCTGGTAATGTTTCCGAAGAAGTTTGATCCTTTTTTTTTTTTTTAAAGATTTTATTTACTTATTTGTCAGAGAGAGAACAGCAGGGGAGTGGCAGGGAGAGGGAGAAGCAGGCTCTCTGCTGATGATGACCTGAGCCAAAGGCAGACACTTAACCAACTGAGCCACCCAGGCACCCCTAATCAGTGTATTTTAAATACCTGTTATAGAGAGCTTTATATTAAGGGATACTTGATAGCAATGAAATTAATTGAATCTGTATGCCAGAGGGTGACTAGAGCAACACACAGATGAAGAATGAGGTGAATGCCAGATGTGATTTTGGCAATCAAGCCTAATATATGATAGAAAATTTTTACCAGTAGGATAAATGGCTTTTCTCCATATACAACACAGAAATTCACAATAGGCAAAAGAATTTTGAACTCCTTTTTCTCTCTTAGTATAAGCTCTTATTTGCCTATAATAAACTAAGATATGCCTTTTTACTCTAAAAGTTTTCCTTAGCAGATAGGACTTAAAAATATATTTTTATAGAAAATTGGTAGTATCCAAGACCTTACATCAGTAACCTTTGTGATTTTAGGCATAAGGAGATCAGCTTAAAAATTCTAACCTTAGGGGCACCTGGGTGGCTCAGTGGGTTAAGCCTCTGCCTTCGGCTCAGGTCATGATCTCAAGTGTCTTGGGATAGAGCCCTGCATCGGGCTCTCTGCTCAGCAGGGAGCCTGCTTCCTCCTCTCTCTCTGCCTGCCTCTCTGCCTGCTTGTGATCTCTGTCTGTCAAATAAATAAAATCTTTAAAAAAAAAAAAATTCTAACCTTAGGCTGTGTTGTGAAATGATGAATTGAAGGGGTATGTTTTAGGCTAAATAGAATATATAATCTCAGTATGAGAACATATTAGGACATTTGAGCTCTTAACCATTCAGGTGTTTGTGTATGTGGAAGTGGGGGACCCTAAGTCAATCCTTGTCTACCAAAGAGTAGCATGTTCTAGAATAGTAAAAGCAGATTTGAGATGAGATCAATAGTATAAAAAGCAGCCAAGTTTTTCAAAGTATGCACAGTTTATACTTTAGTAAAATTGGGTTTCCTGCTTTACAAATCCACACAAGGTAATTTTGAACCTGGAAAATTAATGGAAAGGATTGGTATATCTTAAAATTGAAGGCTTTTACAACAAACTTTATTAAGCCTCTACAAAGTACCTCAAACTATAATGCTCAGAACTTTGACTATTTATTAAAGCAAGGGGTCTATTGGAGAATTTTGAATAAGGAAATAAATAACGTGTTTGCATTTGCATTTTTGAATAGAGTGTTGTGGTCTAGTGGAGTAGATTAAGAGGGTTTGAGAGAGAGGTTTGAGTGAGGTGAAGTTATTACAGGGAGAGACAAATTGCTTTATGGAGAGGTAGTTATTGCTTTAATCATGTCAAATAATCAGTTTCAGAACAAAAGCAGTGTCAGAAATGATGGAGAGAATGCAATATCTGAAATGATGGAGAGACTCTGCTCCAGCAGAGTTGAGAGATACGAGATAAAATTATTGAGGCTGAGTTAGGTAGTGGTCCTTGCTTATATTCCAAACATAGTTAGACATTTTATGTTTATTATTGCATTTTATCCTCACAAAAAGATCTCCATTTGACGGGAAAGAATGCTTGGAAAATTTTATAATTATCTGAGGTCATATAGCCAATAAACCATAGAACTCAGAGCAGGGTGACACCGAGATCAGCTTCCAGTGCCAGTGTTTTTATACCACACACTATTGCTACCAATAAACCAGTCTGCCTCCTCAGAAATTGAGGACATGGGAAGTAGGTAATGAAAGGAGAGGAGAACTCCAGATGGGGTGGCTGAGTCAGTGTTGATGTCACTCACTGGGAGAAGAGTACAGCAAGAGGAGAGATGCAGAGTGAGGGCATTGAGGTTAGATTTGAACATTTGGGGCTTGAGGGTCTGTGAGCAAACCAATGGGCAGATGCATGTGGGTGGGAGCTCAGGAGAGAGAAGTCTAGACTGCAGATGAGATCTGAGACTGAGTGAGGATGAAGTAGTCTAGGGAGCCTGTGTGGGGGGAGACTTTTGTGACAGGAAGCCTGGGAATACCAGCCTTTAAAGAGCAGGCAAAGGGGGCGCCTGGGTGGCTCAGTGGGTTAAGCCTCTGCCTTCAGCTCAGGTCATGATCTCAGGGTCCTGGGATCGAGCCCCACATCAGGCCCTCTGCTTGGCGGGGAGCCTGCTTCCTCCTCTCTCTGCCTGCCTCTCTGCCCTACTTGTGATCTCTGTCAAATAAATTTAAAAAAAAAAATAAAAATCTTTAAAGAGCAGGCAAAGAAGACTGAAGACAAAGGACTGGGTAATTTGGAAGAGAAGTGAACACGGTGTTCCAAAGAGCAGCAGAAAATTTGGGAATTGGGAAATGCTGTAGGGATATAAGGAAGATTGGACTAGAAAGCATTCTTTTAGATTTGGCAAGCAGGCAATCAGTCATTATGACTTCTTAGAGAGAAGTTGGGATGAAATCATGCTTTGATAAGCCTGAGTCAGAATCCGTTTTGTCTGATGGTCATCATTCTGGCACGAGACTAGTCATTTTCCCTTTTGACATCTTGTGGCTGTGGTGGCTGGAAGCTGGTACTTTCTTCAATGCTGATTGCCTCTGGGAAGAGCAAGTAGGTAGCTGTTCCTGCACTTCAGTGAATACCTTTTGCTGCTTTTTAAATTCTGCACCATAAGAATGTATTACTCATTCAAAAACTAAACCAAAAAAAAGGTATTTCCAAGAGAAATATAGAAATTAGCAGTTAACTTCTCTTTTTATGTGGTGCCATGATCACTATTATTCAAATAATATAGTCAATGCTCTTTGTTTAAATATCTGTCTCTCTCATTAAATTGCAATCTCCTCCAGAGTGGGGACATTTTGTTATCTGTCTTGTCTGTGCTGGTCCCTGCCCTCTAGGCTCTGTAATGTTTGTGGAAGATTAGATGTCCCAATGTAAAACACCAAAAGAATATAACAGAATAAGGTTTGATCCAAAGGAATGGCACCATCCTTTTTGTTCATATTGTAGGTAGCCTGGTTCAAATGTCCTACCATCTCCTGTTATTCCTATGCTGGAGGATGAGGGGTACAGACAGTAGCTATAATCATTGTCCTAGGCAAACCTGCTGGCTCAGTTTTAAAATGACTAGGATGGTATGACACCATTTTAGAGGGGCCGCTTAGGAGGGAACCCTGAAAGCAGCATGTCTGTGGCTAAGCACCAGCATTGCTGGCAGATTCCATAGAAGACACTTAGGGCTGTGCACATTTGTCCTTTCCACGTCTACAGTAAATTAAGGGCTTCAGTTTCTTTTTCTTTTTTCTTTGCCAATTTTACTTGCTTCAGCTTGTCAAATATATACTTTTAAAAGATCTTAGTGAAAAATGGGGTTTAATTACTAGAGTGTCTAAAACAGCTTTTTAAGTGTATTATAGACTGTTGGAGGAGATTTTAAAGAAACTGTTAATATTTTGTTTGGAGTTAAAATTCTCTGATAAAAGCCAGTTTTGAATTTAAGGTAAATAAAAAGTGGTTGACAAATTTGTTGCAGTGGAACGAAGTTTAAGAAAATGATAAAAGAAATGATAAATTCACTCATTTATTAAGTGATTGTTATTTTTAAAATGGAGCTGATATTGTGAACTATATGTAGTGTATATTAAATGATTCAGACAGCACTGCTTTCTCTTCAGTAGGAAATAACCTGATAAATAGCACATGATTTACGTTTTTTGAATTTTTTTCTTAGATAAGAAAATTGCAAGGAAATAATTTTGAAAAAAATACAGAGTTTCCAGCTTTCAAGTATGTTTTTTCAGTTTTATAGAAATTAGGGTATTCTGGGGGATATTCTTCTGATGTAGTTTTTATTTTATTTATTTATTTTGAGGGTTTTTTTTTTTAAATGAAATTTATGATTTCCCAATTCAATTTTTTACTGCAGGATAAAGAGGAAAACAGAGAAGGAACAAAGCATTGATTACAGATGTCTTAATAATGAGCAAATGTGGCAGGAAAAAATATATTAAGACAAATCTAAGGTAGGTGGGTATATCTTCTGTTCTTTTGAAAGTTCTGCTTAGAGAGTTAAACTAATAGATAAGTGAATGATGTATATATATGTAGACGTATCCATGAATGTATATAAATTGTGTATGTATAAATATGATACTAAGAAAATATGATATAATGTACTCTGTATGATATAATGTACCACCCAGAGTGGTCAGCCATTCAGCTGAAGTGTTCATTTTCTACCCTGTACGTGTGAGGCAATGGAGGGGAGAAGTGGGCATTTACATTTAGCTTGTGTTGCCTGCTGGTCTTTTCATTTAGAAAGGAGACCATACATAGGGATGTGGACAGAGTTTTAGTTCTCTTCCTTCCTTGCCTTTAAGCTATGCTTGTTCCTAATATAAAATAGAACAGTTTTATCAATTTTTTTACAAAAATCCAGATAGAACTTTTCAGGTTTTCTTGTGGCTTTCAGAGACATTCTGGTTTGTCAGTTGGATCTAGCTTTAAAAAGAAAATAAATTTTCTGTGACTTTTTTGGTAAAACTATTCATAAATAAAGAATAGAAACAACTGGGGCGCCTGGGTGGCTCAGTGGGTTAAGCCTCTGCCTTCAGCTCGGGTCATGATCTCAGGGTCCTGGGATCGAGCCCCGCATCGGACTCTCTGCTCAGCAGGGAGCCTGCTTCCTCCTCTCTCTCTGCCTGTCTGTTTGCCTACTTGTGATCTCTATCTGTCAAATAAATAAATAAAATACTTAAAAAAAAAAAAGAATAGAAACAACTAATATTTTTTCCTTTCGCAGCTGGATTCTATTTTTAAAGTTTTACAAGGGCAAATATAGTTTCTTTGCAGTGTAATTTGTCTTTACAAATAGGATACAACTAAGATTTTAGAAGTTTGTTAGTTAAATGAACATTTTAATTATAATTAGGAAACAGCCTTTGTCTTACTTTCATTTAGATAGATTTGGTCTGTATTTCCTTTTCTATTTGTTTTCTCCTGCCTTTTAAGAACACTTTCCTAGGTACCAGTGATAGCAATCCTTTAAAATGTTTTTCTGTTTTCTTCTAATTTTTTCTTCTAGTTCTATATCTTATTTGATATTGACACATAGGGATGCCTAAATAACTTTGGTCATTAGTTGTCTCAGTATTTCTATAATTGTGAATATAATTTTATGAATATACCTTTGTATTTATTTCTTGAAGGTATATAATAGATTGTCTACCTGTTGTGTTGTACTGCATAAACAGTATGGTACTGTTGTACAAGTGTTTGGAGGAGTTATTGCAGTATTATGTAGACATTTTACTAAAGTTCTAGAAAACAACAGAGTAAGCAAACGAATACAGTTCTACCCTTCTAAAAGTAGTTTAACTTAGTCTTTGAAAATTGTGCTAATGGATGGATCCTGTTATTTTAAAACATAGCTATCTCAACATTTATTAAACTGAATCCTAATATATTTAGAACGTATTGGGATAATATTTATTTTTCTATCAAAGAAGAAGATGGTTTGCTAAATATATATATAAAGAAGATTTCAGAAGAAATATTTAACCTTCATAAGAAAAGAATATTGCTACTACTATTAATCATTTATAAGTTTGAATATGCCCATTTTAGCAATCTATCTGTTTTTCAGAATTGTGGAACCAAATATTTTCCAGTCCTTTGCTTGCTGTTAGTTTATAGTACTTAATGGACTTTTTGTTTTTGTTTTTCTTTTATTGCTTCATCTTTTATGTATTTTTAAATATTTTATAACTTGTGATTACTTATTGGTCTTTCTAAACAATAACCCTTTCTAATAAGGGTTATTGTTTAAGATTAAAATATTGTTCAATTTATCAATAACTAACTTCAGTACAATTGTGCTTAACATTTGATATAGAAAGTGAGATTTGGGGCGCCTGGGTGGCTCAGTGGGTTAAGCCTATGCCTTCAGCTCAGGTCATGATCTCAGGGTCCTGGGATCAAGTCCCACATCGGGCTCTCTGCTCAGCAGGGAGCCTGCTTCCCTCTCTTTCTCTGCCTGCTTCTCTGTCTGCTTGTGATCTCTCTCTGTCAAATAAATAAATAAAATCTTAAAAAAAAAAAAAAAAAGAAAGAGATTTGGGGGAACATATTCTTGAATATATCTGTTCAATTTTAACTATAAGATATATAGTGAACAGTGAAGGATTATAATGGATTTTTCTCTTATACTTTATAAATGAATTCTATCTGGACTAACTGAGGCTGATTTACAGGTGTTAGTGTTATATGTATATCATTTACCCTGAGTTCTGGGTAGTATATGTCCCGCTGAAATACTGTTTGAAAATGCCTAGTATAGTGATTGACCCATGTTGAACATAATTCTTAGTTGAATCTTCTTCTCTGAGTCGTGCCCTAGGGCTGTGTTTTTAGTGGGTTTAGGAGGTTGTGCTAGAGAGCAGTTGGATATTGATCAGTAGAATAAACAGGCTTGAAAATGATAGGGTATATATTTTAAATAGATAGCACTGGCTTTACTTTTCTGTAGATGATTTTTACCTTCAAATACATTGATTTTATTTTATTTGTTATTTTTAAAAAATATTCTTCTTCTTCTTTTTTTTTAAGTAATCTCTGCACCCAACATGGGGCTCACACTCAAGAGCTTGAGATCAAGAGTTTGTGTGCTTCACTGCCCCTCAAATAAATTGATTTTAGTATCAAACTTTTATTAAGTGACATGTATTGGTCACTATACTAGGCATGCTAAAAGAATACAAATGGTATAAAATTAAAGTCCCTACATCCTCCTGTGAAAAGATAAAGCATATCTGGATGAAGATTGTAACAATAGTTGCAGCATACTTAAAAACGCATCTTTATTGTAAAATGCTGTCTAAATTGGAATACTTGGGACACTGGCTGTGGAAGGAACCCTGGAGTTCACAAGACCTCTTATTCACTGTCTGCTATCTATCATGTGCCTTATAGAAAATCAATCTCTCTAAACCTTATTTTTTATCGTTTTAGTGACATCTGACAGTTGCATAGTCTTACCGAATAGTTGATCAGTTGGTTTATTTAACAATTATAGTAGATTCTGTACTAGGCACTGGGAATACATTGAAACATAAGTTGTAATCTCTGTCCCGGAGTTGCTTATACTAGTGTTGGTACTTTGTGAATAAATGTATTATATGCTAGACAAGTGTTATAATGGAAGTACTGCATAAAATGCTTTGGGAACTCAGAACAGAATAACTAATTCTGCCCAAGGCTATTAGAATAGGCTTTTGAAAGATGGTGTCCTTCAGCCAGGCCTTGAAAAACTGGTAGGAATTTGCCTGTTGGACAAAGAAGAGGTGAAGGGCAGTTCAGGAAGAGAGAAGAACAGATATAAAAGATTAGAACTAGGGAAATAGGATGTGTATTTGAAAGAAATGGCTTATGAGGAGGCCAGAATGCAGAGTATGGGAAGAATGGAGTGACTGGAAATGAGGCCATAAAAGTAAAATGGGGTCACATCGTGAAAGAGATTGAATGGCAGTTTGGTTTGGTAATTGAGAATATGGACTTTGGAAAAAGACCTTAATTCAAAACCTGGCTATGCCACTCTGAACAGATCAGATTGGTGGTAAGATTAAGTTCTTAACCTCTTATGTTTCTTTGTCATTATCTATTTTATTATCCCTAAAAGAAGAACTGACTATCCTGATTTTATAAAGCTGTTAAGGATTAAAGCCAGTAGGCTTTTACCACATGGTAAGCACCTACAAATGGTTGTTGTGGTTATTATTATTATACGACGTTTGAATTTTATCCTATGCTCAATATAGGGCTACTAAAGAGTTTTTTTTTTTTTGTTTTTTTTTTTTTTAAGATTTTATTTATTTATCTGACAGAGATCACAAGTAGGCAGAGAGGCAGGCAGGAGAGAGGAGGAAGCGGGCTCCCTGCTGAGCAGAGAACCCGATGCGGGGCTTGATCCCAGGACCCTGGGACCATGAGCTGAGCCGAAGGCAGTGACTTAACCCACTGAGCCACCCAGGCGCCCCTAGGGCTACTGAAGAGTTTTAAGCAGAGAAGTGTTTTAAGCAGAAGTGTAAACTTGAGAAAGAGAACTGTTAGTATGCATTGGAATAGGGAGATTGAGTAGTGGTAAAGAAGGGGACTACCTTGTTCTTTAGTAGGAGGAGTCATCCCACTTGGTAATGAGGCTGTAGGGAAAGAATGGGAGAGGGTGTTAGAGGTAACACCCAGGTTGTCACTTGATGGATGCCGGAGCTGCATTTCCTGAGGTTAAGAATCTCAGAGCAGAAACACATTTGTGGAGGAGAAGAGATTAGTTTTGGACTCATTGAGTTTGAGGTACCTGTAGGACACCTATTTGGAGATAATAGATAGGCATTTGAATATATGGTTTTGGAATTCAAGAGAAACCTCTGGGCTAGAGATCTAGATTTGAGAGTGAAGTTGGTGAAATGATGACAGTACACAAAGGGAGATTTGAGAGTGAGGTGAGAAAACTAAACAGAGCCCTGAAGACATGCAATATGAAGGTTGACATTGAGTAAGAGAAAGAATTAGCAAAGGAGCTTGTGGAGGAGTTGTCGGAGAATGGGATGAGAACAGAAAATGTAATATCAAAAAGGACATCAAAAAGGAAGATGCCAACAGTTTTGAATACTGCTGAGGGATCAAGCCAGATAGGACTTAAAATGAACTTAGATTTAGTGACAGATTGGTTACCTTTACTAGAGAAGTTTAGTGAAGCAGAAGCCAGTTTAGGGTTGTCTAGGAATAGGTGGGAGTAAAGAAATGGATATAATGTTGGTAATTCTTTAATGTAGTTTAGCAGTGAAAGGAAGAAGAGAGGTTCAAGACAGTAGCTAGAAAAAGACTTCTGGTTCAGCAAGTGTGTGTGTGTGTGTGTGTATGTGTGTTTGAGATCGAGGAGACTTAAACCTGTTTAAATCTTGATAAGAGGAACCATTGGAGAGGGGGGAAGGTAATTGATAATAGTTCCCTCAAAGAGGGTCTAAAGCACAGATAAAAGAACTTAAAGAGTGGGGAGGCAGGAGGCAAGGTAAAATGGTGGGTATAGATGTAAATGGGTTTGCCGATTTGGTGGCAGGAAATTGAGGGAGTTCTCATCTAAGCAGGAGGCAAGTCCTTACACTGTGTGTAGGGTAGTTAGGTAAGCTTGGAGATTTGAGAAGAGGGAGAAAACTTTGAAAGAGTCAGAGAATGGAAGAGTAAGTTCACTAGGAAAACTGTAAGATTGCTGCCCATTTGAGGAGAGAAATAGGGAGAGAATCTCAAGTAGACTCCCTGCTGAGGATGGAGCCCAATGCAGGCTCAATCTCACAACCCCGAGATCATGACCTGAGCCAAAATCAAGAGTCACATGCTTAACTGACTGAGCCACCCAGGTGCTCCGGAGAGGAAATCTTTTAACTCAAGTGCCAAAGTCTTCAGTTTACATCCTGGATGTGAGTGGAAAATGATTATCATGTGGGTGAATATAGGATGGTACACCCGATGACTTTGGACCTCAGCAAGACAGGGGTTTCTGCAAAGGCACAGAGGAGGAACAGCTGACAAATAGTAGTGGGAATTCTGGTTAGGTATGGGAAGACAAGCTGCTGTCTGTTAAGAGGATGGGGTGAGGGGTGGGAGTTCCAGATAGCACGTTGCAAGGGCTTGGAAGGAGAATAGGAGTTAGGAGTAAGCAACTGAATTATGGGGGGGAAGGAAGTACTAGTTTTGAGAGGGATAGTGAAGTACAGGAGGAGCTTACATCTTTGACAGTGACTGGGGAGGTAGGAATGTGAGGTGTTAATGGATGTGATTCAGGCATGGGTCAGGGGGCATCACGGTTTGGTCATGGCTTACAGGAAGGCCAAGCGTGTTGTGTAGTCTTTAGAATGGACAGCAGCAGTCATGAGGAGAAGCAGCTTGGCAGCTTAGTCCAATATTGGGATAGGAGGTTATAGTAGATGATGCCACATGTGGCAGGAAGGATGAATAGGGGTGGCCACTGACCTTCCATATCTGCCTTTCTTCCCATTTCCAGGCCTCATGGCATCCTGATTTGGCTGATACTTAGCTCTGTGGGTTTTTGTCATTAATCCGGTACCAACTCACATACATGCTTGTAGCTTGTTGCTGCGGTGCTTAAGTGGGTAGTGATACTCTCGAATAGAAGAAATTGAAGGGAAGGGACAGGCATCTGAAAACTAGATTGAGATGCTTCATAGGAGGGGAGTGTAGACAAGTACAGACTTGGGAGCATCTACATATAGGGTTGGAGAAGCTGGAGTATGTAGATTGAAGATGTAGGGCTCGATCTCAGGACCCTGAGATCATGACCAGAGCTAAAACCAAGAGTCAGATGCCCAACCAACTGAACCACCCTGGTGCCCTCTCTCTAGAGTTTTAAAAAATATTCTCTCTCTGGTTCCATCTGACCTTTCTAGCCCTACTTCTACCAGTCCTATTTTGCTTCCTCCTCACTGAATCTAAACAGGCTCCCTGGCACCTAGGTTATCTACTACAATCTGTTATTCCATTTCCTAACCATACTCTGTACTTTCCTTCCTCTCATAGTTCTCTTTTCCTCTTCTACTTGGTGAAATTCTTCTCATTGTTCAGTATATGTTTATATGGCCCCATTCTCAGGCAGATATAGTCATTGCTTCCTATGTTTCCCAAAGTATTTTGTGCATAACATCCTTTACACAATTTAAAAAGTGACTTTACATGTGTTCCTTATGAGTCTACCTGATAGAATTTACCAATAAGCTAAGTTTTTCCTAAATTTTAATATGCATCAGAATCTCTTAGATGTAAAAAAAATTAGATGCCCCAGAAAGTTTGAGTCTGTAGATTTAGGGTTGAGCCTAGGAATCTGCTCCTCTACTTCCCCAGTAAGTATGTTAGTTACTTCTGATAGAGGTTGTCCAAGGACCAATTAATGAATAAATTCCTTCAGGGCAAGGGCTGCAGTATACCCACTTTTGTGTTTTCGGAGCCAGTCATGTAGATGGCGCTAAGTAAATGTTTCTAAAATGAATGGTTTAGTGAGGAAGGTCTTCTAGCATATAGTGTTTGAGTTGAGGTTCAAGTTCTTTAAAAGGTGTAAGACACAGCATAAGACATTTCTCAAGTTGTTTTCAGAACACTACCTTTAGGACATGCCTTGTGGAAAAGAGTTTTTGGTGGTCAGATGCTTTTGGAAAATGCGGCCTATTGGATCTGCACCTTCCACCTTCTGAAGGCACACTAGCATATTCAGGCTTCTGAGAAGTTCTGTGGCAAAGAAAACCTTTTTCACCCCAGACATATAAAACTTTTTCACTAAGTGCTTCCCCCACTCTCATTTTTAGATAATACCTTTTCATATCCTGTAGAACTAAATGTTCTGATGTATTCTCTTTGGGAACTGTTCACATAAGCAAACATAGAGCCAGAAGAACTGGCAGTTTATGCAGGTGATCTTTACTTGCCTAGGCTGATCTAGAAAATAAGAGATAAAGGAACTGGGGAATAGTAACGGAAAGACATTTTTTCATAGTAGACCGGATTTTTGTCTTTTATAGTTGCTCTAAATTGTCATGTTTAGTTAGAAGTTTTGATGATTTTCAGTAGTGAGAAATAACTTAAAAGCAGCATAGATGGGTTTGAGAATGGAAGGCTTGGATTCAGGTAATGACTATTGAAATGCAAAAGAAGATAGTAAAGTGCAAGATGGATCAAAGAGTGCAGAATCTGGTAACTAAATCTGGAAAAAGGATTTGGATATTTTAATTCAAAGTTCTAAGTAGCTTGCATACTTTTTGGCTATATAATTAGACTACTAAAGTGAGAAACACATTGTATCATTGACAGTTGAAAAGATGTGTAACAGAGAATAGTTCCTGTAAGTTTTCAATATTTGATTTTGTTTATTTTGTTTGTGGTTTGTATTTCTTCTAGTAGGATAAAATTTATCATAGTGGTTTATCGTCTATATGGAAATAAAAATTGTTAAATTGATTATCATAGACAAAATTATGTCGAAAGTTCTTCTGGAAAAATTAGATTCTTCTCTTTTTTTTTTTTTAAGATTTTATTTATTTATTTGACAGACAGAGATCACAAGTAGGCAGAGAGGCAGGCAGAGAGAGAGAGAGAGGAGGAAGCAGGCTCCCTGCCGAGCAGAAAGCCCGATGTGGGGCTCGATCCCAGGACCCTGGGATCATGACCTGAGCTGAAGGCAGAGGCTTTAACCCACTGAGCCACCCAGGTGCCCCTAGATTATTCTCTTTAATGAAATGGGAAGCTGTAGGACATGTAGTCAGCTCTGCATGATTCCATTTGAGAGGCTTGTTTATCAGAAACTGGTTAGTGCTGTCAAAGCTAGGCACATCTTTATATTATAATGCATTTAATTTAGACTGTGGGGAAATTCTCCGATAGTATATATTATGAAGCAGGTACCTTAGGCCTTGAGAGTCATAGAATATTTATACTTAAGGTAAAATAGAAAGTCTGCTTTTTTCACTCATTTATACTGGAGGGCTTAAAATAATTATCAAGGAGACTATTATAAGATTAACATTTTTTGTAATAAGTTAATTCCCATAAAACATTTTACAGTGCTTCCTGGAATGGTAATGTTCATATCCTGTGAGCAGAGTTAGTTTGGAGACTTAGACTTCTACCACTGAACCCATTTCTTGAAAAATAAGATGGTACAATTGATGACAGAAATGAATATCAGAAAGCTAAGTAAAAGCAGAGAAATCTTTCTGATAGGGCCTTAATACTTCTTCCTTTTTTATTTTTTTTTTTTCAGACAAATGACCATGGAAACAATTGAATCTCAGCAGGATGGAAGTGTAACAGAGTCTGTGGCTGAGAGTGAATCTGCTCATATGCAGACCCAGACTGGTCAAAATTCAATCCCTACTTTAGCTCAGGTAAATTTAATGTAGGCAATAGGCAGGCACTGATGAAAGTGAAACTCTGTGGAAATAAGTATGTGCAGATTCTGTTTTCTTGAAGTTGATCTTAAGTTTACCCTGTTTCCTGGTTATCAGCCATTCTTACTGATTTGATTTCAAAGAGACAATATGTATTTGAGTTACTTTGCCTCGTAACAGACACTTTTCAGTGCTCCCTCCACCACCACTGCTATGCAAAAGGAAAAACAAAAACCTGCCCACATATGTAACCCTCAAATTACTGTTTCAGAAGGTTGGTAATTCCAAGTTGGTATAGTCTTAACTTCTCAGCTGGAAATACTACAGAAATCTTACATTTGCCTAGTATATATTTGGTTTGAGCTTTACTTCCTTTTTAGTTAGGTCTTTGAATTGGTTTCATTTAGAGACCACCAGTATGAGTTAGTGCCTGATTTTCAGCTCTTAAAACTTATTTCTGAGATATTTATAAAAATATGTAGTAAAAGCAAACACATTCTTTTATTTAGTTTGTCACGTATTTTTTGAGTACCTACTGGCTCTCAGCACTATTTAGATACATGGAGAAATGTAGTTTTTGGTCTTAAATATCTCATGGTTTAGTAGGGAAGACAGGTACTTGAATGATAGCTCCAACAATATAAGAAGTGCTATAAAATGTTAGGAGGGAGCAGCCAGGTGACCAGGAGTACTTTATGGAGGATTTGCTTTTGAGCTAGATATAAAGGATCAGTAGGAGTTTACCACGTGGACAAGGATAGGGAAGCATATTCTAGGCCAGGGAAGAGAGTGTGCAGAGGCACGAAGCCAGACTCTCGAGAAACTATGGGTAGAGGGGCTAACTGGAGCCTGACATCTGGGCTGGGAAGTTGAGCTGGTAAATGTAAGCAGAGGTTGTATACATTTGAGAGTGTAGAGTGTCCTGGATTCTAAATATTCTTGAAGTACAGTGTTCCCTGTGTTTAGAACACTAATATTTGTGTGGACTATGTGGGGGTTGGATTGGAAGTCAACCAGCCAGTTGTGGAGACACCTTTTGTGTGGAGTCACAGTAGTGTGGGATACAGTGCAGTCGTGAGATTTTCACAGTATCTTGAAGGGAGGAGAGAGAGGACCCATATGGCTGACTGGAGGTCCAGGGGAAATACCAGGTACTTCCTGGGTTGTCTCATGCCAGACAGGTTCCTGTGAGGTCTCTTCTTTCCCAAGACTGGCCCCAAACACCCAGCCTGCTTTTCTTTCCTCATAAGAGCTCCCTGGGGGTTTTCTCACAAGTATTCTGTGAAGCTGCATCTCCCTGGCAACACCCTTCTTTGTTACCCCAGAATACAGGCACGCAGACCTTTTGCTATTTAAAGGGGTGAGGGGAGCAGCCTTTTTCTTATTAAAAAAATGTATGTTCATTGTAGAAAATTAACAAAACATATATTATTATAAAGAAGAAAATAAAAACTACCCATAATCTTAACATCCAGAGATTTTGGGTATATGTCTTTTAGTCTTAGGGTCTTACAAAAAGAATACAATACACATATCTTTTTTCATAAATTTGCCATCTTCTAGAGTTTTTATCACTATGATTCCTGATCTTTAATTCTGCCCTTATTTGCTGAAGTGGTAGTTGAAAGCAAATCTTCCTTTTGCCTCCACTCTCCTCTCTTTAGGTGCTGGCTCACTGACCCTCACATAGCCTTCTCTCCCTCCTCTGGGCCTGCACAGTCAAAACAATATATCTCCATTGTTTAAAAATGATAATTTGCAATCCTGAGGACCTTTAGCCTGGGTGACAACCAGCTCTGTGAGCGTCAGTCAGAAGTTACTAAAGAGTTCCAGTAATATGAAGTTTAAAAAATAACCTTTGATTTATGAGCGTTTGGAATTGAATAGGAGTCCAGTGAATAGAAACTAGGTTTTCATAGCTAGGAGAAGTAAGAGGGAGAGGAGGTAGAAATTGGAAGTATAGATTCTTCAAGAAATTTTTCTGTGAAATAATAGAGAAAGATGAGTCTGTGAAACAAAGGGGTGAGGACAGGAGTGTGGCAAAGTGAAGTGTTTTGAGGAAAGTGGAAGGAGAGAGAGAGACATGAGAAGGCTGAATCAGATCTAGGAAAAAAACCTGTGGTTTGCATTTATAATGCTTTCTTCTTTAAAAATCTCAACCATTCAAATGTTGGTATTTATTAAATCTGGAGAGCAAGTTCATGGACTTGCTATGGTATTTATTTTCTATATATCTTAAGGGTCTGATCAAAGGACAAATGGTTTTTGTCTTTCACATATTAGGAATGTTAGGAGATCAAGAAGTAATCTGTGTGCTGATTCATTGATTACTTTGGTTAACTAAGAGTTATCCTCTGTGCCATGCACAGATCATGATTTTTTGAAAAATTAGGACAAATTCTTAGCAGTCAAAATTTTCTAAACATAATTAGATTCTAAACGGTTAGGTTCTTATGATGCCTGAAGCTGTTAATTTGTGAGTATTCATTATGATGTGATATTATGTGATAAAAGCATTAGGAAATCAGATTGAAATCTTTATTAAACCTATATGTACCTGGTGGTGGGTATTATGGAGGGCACGTATTGCATGGAGCACTAGGTGTGGTACATAAACAATGAATTCTGTTACACTGAAAAGAAATTAAAAAAAAACCTATAATGTATGCTAAAAGTGACTCTTCTGAATAATTCCTGATGTCCTTGTATACTTGATACTTGTTTCATTTTTTTCAAAAAGGACGGTTTGGTATAGGTAGGACTTTATAACACTTAATTTCCTTTTTACATGGTCAAATTGTCATTAACTAGTGTGGGCACAAAAGGTGTGACAAAAAGATTCAGTCAGTTTCATCCTTTGTATCTGGTCATTTGAGAGTAGTAGTTTTGAGCACCATGGACTTTCTAAAGCTTCTGCCCATCAGGGTTACTCTGAAATCATCACATTCAGGAAGATCTGACAACTCGAGGCTGCTCTTGGCCCTCAGGCCTCCATGTGCACCAAACGAGACTAGAGTTTTAAGTTTCCAGTTTTCTGTTTTATAACTTCCCAGATATAAATGGAATCTTTCCCTTCTACCTGCAGTCAAAAGTAAATAGAAGTCACAGTGGTGATAATGTCAAAGAGCTGAAAGCAGGATTTGCCTTAAACAGATCCTGAGGGTGACAGATAGTTGAGGTTAAATCGTGACTTGGCTTTCTTCTTGCCTGAGATATTTTTTATGTTGATTTATTTTTAATTGAAGCTGCTTTCTTGTTTGTTAAGTGTATGTATTGCTATGTAAGACTACTTTCTATTCCCCTGTGCCCCTGGAAAAACAACTGGTAATAAATTGGAGAGTTTACTTTAAATAACCAAGCCAGGAGGAAACCCTGTCCAAAAGCCAAGATGGTGGAAAGCAAAATAAATAAATAAATAAATAAATAAATAAATCTATCTATATCTATCTATCTATCTATATATAGATATATATATGTATGTATATTATATACAAATATATATGTATGTTATATACAAGTAGTTTTAAATAGCCACATATCCTCTGGAAATAATATAATCCTTAAATGGGTAATTAAACTTTCTTTTTTTTTTTTTTTTAAAGATTTTATTTATTTGACAGACAGAGATCACAAGTAGGCAGAGAGGCAGGCAGAGGGAGAGGGAGAAGCAGACTCCCTGTTGAGCAGAGAGCCTGATGTGGGGGGGGATCATGACCTGAGCCAAAGGCAGAGGCTTTAACCCACTGAGCCACCCAGGCGCCCTAAACTTTCTTTTATAATGTAAGATTTCAAACATATACAAGGTAGGATAATGCTATGTATATAAATTTATGTATACATAAACTTGATAATTACTAAGATTTTGTAGCCTCATCTATCTTCTTTTTTTTTCTGTTTGTTAAAGTATTTTAAGCAACTCTGCAGATCTCAGACATGTCATTTTACTCCTACTTACTTCTGCGTATGCAACTTATAAAAGATTATAGACATTTTTTTATGTAACCAAATGTCACTGTCATACCTAATAAAATGAAGCATAATTCCTTACAATGATACGCACTTCTTGTTCACATTTCCCCATTTATTTCACAAATGTGTAATCTACTCTGAAAGTAAGAGTGAGGACACCCTGAACTTTTCTTGTTGGATGTCCCTTGGGAGTTGTTAATGTCTCCAGAAGATGTGGATAGGCAAAGTAATCCTCATGGAGCCGCTGGAAAGGATGTGCTTTAAAACCAGCTTTCCAAAGCTTCATGCCTAGTAGCTGCTGCTGAAGCCTGTGGGCACCTCACCTCTCAAAGCTAAATAACTCTTTTTTATAAATGACCAGTTCTCTAGGTGTCAGCAAAGGTGAAAAAAGCGAAGCAGGGAGTCCTAGAGCTTGAAGCTCTAGAGATTATCAGGGTCAGCACAGTGCCTGAAGAGAATGTGTTCTAATATAAACATTAATCTTCCCACAGACCTGTGTGTTTTTGGAAATGAGATTATAGGGAGCAGAGAAAACCACTCGGGAATGTTGTTCAAGGATTATACTCTGCTAATCTCCTTTTTTATGCTGTCTGTTCTAAATGCAAATAGTATGTAAAGGAGCGCCTCAGAATAAAGCCGGCCTTGGCATGCAGTGAGGGATTGAAGTAGGAATGATTTAACAAAGGATACATTTTAATGTATGAGTTGTATGTTTTCTGTTTCAGTCTGGTGGGAAATTAGAATGACGTTTCTCATTACTTTGGCTGGCTGTGCCAAAAATCCATCTTCTTGGTTCTAAGTAGGACCAGGAAGGATGTGGATGAGTATCAGAAAACAGAACAAAAATGCAACATTTGCTATTGATAATGGGTCAGCAACATCATATTTGTATATTAAAGATGGTCTGCATTGTGTTTTGTTGATCTGGTATATCTACTGCCAGCTAAGTAGATATAATTTAAGCTTAGTGTTCAATTGAATCTTGTTTTTTATTTCAACATACTAATTCCCTTACTTGAGTGACTTTT